CGCGGAGGGTGGGGAAGTCGCGGAGCACGAATTGAAACCATTTAGGGTCTTCTTCGAGGAAGACGGTGGTGCCGCCGGCGTTGAAGGCGGACCACATGGGGGAATCGTGACCGAGGCCGAAGACGAGGAAGTTGCAGGGGGAACGGCGGCGCAGGATGTTAAGGGAAATGGAAATCTCGGAGCGGGATTGTTGGGGTACGATTGAAGAAGTCGCGTAGTGGAAAATGGCGGAGAGGAGTTCGTCGGCCGGTTGATGAGGATGGATGGAGGGGGGGAGGGAGCAAAAGAAAGGGCTGTCGCCGCGGAGGATGAAAGTGGAGAGGAAGAGAACGCCGGAGAAGAGAAAAGCGGCGGCGGCGGAGGCGGCCACGGACAGGGTTGTCACTGGCCTGTTTAGTACGGCGGTCGTGCCCATCTTCTCCGGGCCTTCGCGCTATCTACCGTCTACTTTCTTCTTTGAAAATGAGAAATGCGAGGCTATATAAATAGAGGCATTTTATTTCCCGGGAATGGCCCGATGATAATTAATAGGGGTATTTTGGGAAGTCAGTAGGTGGGGATCTTCTACGTAGCGATGACTTATGAAAATGGTGCGCTGTTCGCCGCGGGGGCACCTCCGGCACGTGCCAATTTATATTTTGTTAGCGATTTTCATTTTATGCTATAATTTAATTTTCAATTTTTGTTCTGCACTTAAATTACAAACTAATGTGAAAAGAAATTCGTAGAATAATGGCATGAAGTGTCGTAAGTGTTGACGAGTCATATCGTTGTCCTGCTTTCTTTCTTGCTGTCCCGCATCGGGGTCTTGCGTCCGCAGCAGCTCGCATCTGGATGTGCTGAAATTTTGGGATCACGACCTGGGAGATGACTTGTTGCTTTTGATCTCATCGGTGGGTGATGAGTCGCTGCTCGTGACCTCATCGACTTGCGGGTGTCGGGCCTCAGCTTCTTGCAATGAATCAAACATATATACTATGTGTTAAAACTAAATATTGTTTTTTTCATTTATAAATTTCTATTGTCTCGCACATGTTCTGGGGATTTTTTTTTTTTCTAATAAAAATAATTTCAGATTTCAATTCAAGGTCATATAAATTCAAAGGACCGTCTATACAAGACAAATCGTGTGATGCCAAAATTAGTTTAATTTGAGTCTGATCAAGCTTAGATGAATCAATTAAAGCATATTTAATGGTTTTGGATGATCAATTGAATGATAGAATGAACAATAAATTTGACATATTTATAGTGAAATCGAGCGTCTCAATGAGAGGAATTCAATGAGCACAAACTCATTTAATTTCAAGCTCATTATGATACTCAAATCATTAAAAAAAAGTTATGATCAAAAGAGATCTATGTGAGTCATTCGATCAGGTGGTTGGACAAGTTAATCATCAAAAGATAAAAATGCCCTTATTCAAGAGATTATAAAAGACCCCCTCTATTTGTCAACTTCCAGCCTTCGAAGCTAGTGACCACCATGGTCCATTTGTAGGTTGTCGTCGACCACTATAAATCATTCCTACTCGCTGTTGTTGGTGACTCCTGAATGTTGTATCCCAAATACAACCATAAAGTATAGCGTTGTATTTGAGATTCCCTCGAAAAATTTTGGCTTCCGTATTTGCTAACGACTGTCGACCACATTATCAGCCATAGTCAACTAGCGTCGGCTGCCCGTACTCATCGTCATCAATGACCCCCTACTTGCTGACATGAGTAAATTCTATGCAATTTTTATTTCATCTAATTGTACTTTTTACCTATTGTTTTTCCTTAGTTATCATAGATTTATGCTTGTGAAAAATTTTTTGTTGGTGATGTGCAAGTTACAGGAGATCGACTGTGCATTTCAAAACGAGATAGACAAATGTTGGGATTGTCAGAATTGAGTGGACACACCTAAATTGAGCGTGACCACGCCTCTGTACAAAGGCACTTGCGTGACCATGCCTAGATCAAGCATGATCACGCTGCTTGATCAACATGCTAGCGCGACCATGTCGGGATCATATGTGACCATGCTACTCGATCGACATCTATGGTATAACTACGCCAAATTTCTGTGTAACCATGCCGATGAAGCGGGCAATATTTTTGGAAAGAAATATTTTTTCTAAGCCGAGACTAGGGCTATGAAAAAAGATTCAGGCAACTTGAAAAGGCGCTTAGATCATTAGTGATGGGTATAAGTAGAGGTGAAGGGACTAGGTGAGAGAGAGCTTCTCCCTTAGGGCTTTCTTTTTTGTTTGAGGTTGACGTCCTATGGGTTGTATTTCCTCCTCTACCTTTTTTTCATTATTATTTTTGAGAGAAGATTGTATGAGAGGGAGAGCTTCATTAGTGGAGACGACAAATTATTTTTTAAGTATTTTCTTTCAGGTTATGCTTGCAATAATTATTTTTATGGACTTTGTTTTTCTTCGTTCTTTATATCGTACATAGTTAAGTTCTCTATCGTGACTCTATGGTGTAAGGCTTGTGGTTTTTTTGATTTTTTTGGATTGTTTTCTCCATGACATTTTTCTGAGCTTTCATGTAAAAGTTGTTGTGTTAACCTTTGGATTTCATTACTTCTGAACTGGCAAGTCGAGATGTTTACATCTTTTGTGATTTATGAATTCTGCTCATATGGTAAAAGAACGAATGGGTTAACACAAGAATAGGCATATTATATAAGGATTTTGCAACATAGACAAGGGATCAAAAGAGTCCTGCAGAAGTGCTATAGGATTAAGCGAAACATAACTTCATGAGTTTCTAATTATTCTTCTGGCTTATGCATAGGCTTAATAAAAGTACTTTATCCCTGTTAAAAACTATCACATAGTGAAAATTTTAGGAAAATCATGAACCACCATTTTATACTGTTTTTAATGATTTTGCACTAGACATATTTATAGTGAAATCGAGCGTCTCAATGAGACTCATTGAATTCCAAGCTCATTATGATACTCAAATCATTAAAAAAAAATTATGATCAAAATAGATCTATGTGAGTCGTTCGATCAGGCGGTTGGACAAGTTATTCATCAAAAGATAAAAATGCCCTTATTCAAGAGACTATAAAAGACCCCCTCTATTTGTCAACTTCCAATTCGAAGCTAGTGACCCCCATGGTCCATTTGTAGGTTGTCGTCGACCACTATCAGTCATTCCTACTCGCTGTTGTTGGTGAATCCTGAATGTTGTATCCCAAATACAACCATAAAGTGTAGCGTTGTATTTGAGATTCCCCCGAAAAATTTTGGCTTATGTATTTGCTGACGACTGTCGACCACATTATCAGCCATAGTCAACTAGCGTCGGCTGCCCCTACTCATTGTCATTAATGACCCCCTACTTGCTGACATGAGTAAATTCTACGCAATTTTTATTTCATCTAATTCTACTTTTTACCTATTGTTTTTCCTTAGTTATCATGGATTTATGCTTGTGGAAAATTTTTTGTTGGTGATGTGCAAGTTACAGGAGATCGACCGTGCATTTCAAAACGAGATAGACAAATGTTGGGATTGTCAGAATTGAGTGGACACACCTAGATTGAGCGTGACCACGCCTTTGTACAAAGGCAGTTGCGTGACCATGCCTAGATCAAGCATGATCGCGTTGCTTGATCAACATGTCGAGATCATATGTGACCACACTACTTGATCGACATCTATGGTATAACTACGCCAAATTTCTGTGTAACCATGCCGATGAAGCGGGCAATATTTTTGAAAAGAAATATTTTTTCTAAGCTGAGACTAGGGCTATGAAAAAAGATTTAGGTAGCTTGAAAAGGCGCTTAGATCATTAGGGATGGATATAAGTAGAGATGAAGGGACTAGGTGAGAGAGAACTTCGCTCCCTTAGGGGCTTTCTTTTTTTTTTTTTTTTTTTGAGGTTGATGCCCTAAGGGTTGTATTTCCTCCTCTACCTTTTTTTTATTATTCTTTTTTAGAGAAGATTGTATGAGAGGGAGGCTTCTTTAGTAGAGACGATAAATTATTTTTTAAGTATTTTCTTTCAGGTTAAGCTTGCAATAATTATTTTTATTGACTTTGTTTTTCTTCATTCTTTATATCGTACATAAGTTCTCTATCGTGACTCTATGGTGTAAGGCTTGTGGTTTTTTTGATTTTTTTGGATTGTTTTCTCCATGACATTTTTCTGAGCTTTCATGTAAAAGTTGTTGTGTTAACCTTTGGATTTCATTACTTCTGAACTGGCAAGTCGAGATGTTTACATCTTTTGTGATTTATGAATTCTGCTCATATGGTAAAAGAACGAATGGGTTAACACAAGAATAGGCATATTATATAAGGATTTTGCAACATAGACAAGGGATCAAAAGAGTCCTGCAGAAGTGCTATAGGATTAAGCGAAACATAACTTCATGAGTTTCTAATTATTCTTCTGGCTTATGCATAGGCTTAATAAAAGTACTTTATCCCTGTTAAAAACTATCACATAGTGAAAAATTTAGGAAAATCATGAACCACCATGACATGGGAATCACAGAGGCGTAAGCCTTATCTCTCTTGAAGAACCACAAGTTTTCTCCACTTCTTTTATTTCTTTATTTTCTAGCTCGTGTTTTATTTTATTTCTGTTTGTGAGTAGGATTGTAGGAATTTAACCTCTTGTTTGTGATTACGCTAAACTAGGTTTAAAAATTTAGTTAACAAGAGATTCATCTGTTGGAATATTTTTTAGCTATTTCCTTATGGGATAGAAGAATGATATTCTAAATTCACATTATTGCTTGACACGTAAACTTGGGTGATCAACAGACTTTCAAAAAGTTTTTACTAACATTCAGATATGGTAAACCCAAAGAAATTGGGGAGTGTGTAAGATGCTGATGTCTTGGTCATCCCAGGAGCCTAAGTATCAGGCATTTGTAGTAAATTGGGCAGTCTAAGGGTGAATTCAGTGCAAATATTTCTAGTAAGTAAGAGAATAGTATACAGACCAGTAGTAGATTCTAGTATGAATACTATAGAGGTGGTGAATGCCATAGAAATCCAAGGCCATAACCCTTAATCCAATACTTACAATTCAGACTAGAAAGATCATCCCAACTTTTAATGGAGCTATAATAACAAATAGTGGGGGAACCCTCATGTCAAACCTACAGGTAATTAGAACAACTAAAAAAATAATTTGCATACTGATGAAGGTTTCTGACACACCAAAATTTACTGCTAAGTAAGTTGGTCGTACAACACTAGTGCATGTACTAAGTAGTATGCAGCTTAAGAGTTCGCTTATCGACCTCACAAGGAAATTCTAACTAATATTTTTATAAAAAATTCTCTAGTTTACTAATTTAGTGAACTTAGTTTGGCATGATCGTAAAGATGGTTTAGTCCTTAGATTCTAGAAAAAAAAGAAGAAATTACAGGTAGTAGAAAACAAAAACAAAAAAAAGTATTTGTGAGTTCCTTCAAGATTGATGAAACCCGTGCTTCTGTGATTTGGGCATCATGGTAATCATGGCTTCCCTAAATATTTTCCTATGTGATTGTTATCAATTGGGGATTGTTTAACTCTTTATGCTTATGTCTAGGTCAAAAGAAGCCTAGAATCTATGAATTTGAGGCTCCCTTAATCCCCATGACATTTCGCATAATTGTTCTAATCACCAGGGATGTTTGCAAATTCTACTAGAATATGTCTGCCATCTTGAGATTCTGTAGTTAACCCTTCTTTTCTACTACAAAATGGTTAGAGGTCATTGCTTCATGAAATATTTTAACATCCTAGTTGGTCATAGTATGAGTAGATTAAGTTTATAGGTTAACCAATAATATAA